GTGTGACAACAATTTGAACATGGCCAACAGGCTCAAACACTCAGGCACGATGATTTGTGACTTTTTGCTTACACACCTATCTCCGGTACGCAAGTGTTCCGTCTACTGAATTTCACTCTCAAGGCAATCTTCCTGACAAATCGATCATGGTGAGATTCGAACCCGTGTCTCATGGTCAGAATGCGAACTTTCTAACAACACGTGACCATACCATGAATTCAGTTAGCCTCCTGCTTTTGTGAAGAACATAACTTCATTAATAATTTAGCCGGATAATCCACTTATCGTTTATCAAGATGGCTGAACCTACATCGCTTCGAATATAAGTAGATAAGGATTTATTAATATCAATAAGAAAATCTACCAACTTCTGTACTCGAAATACTTGTTGCCGATAAAACAAATATAACTCAACTGTTCTAAATGCTAAATAACCTTTACTACAAATACGGCCATAATGTTTAGGAAATTAAAAATATATGTACGTGTCAGTCATCTATCGAAAATTTGCAACAATGAAAACAAAATTATTGAAAATGAGGAATGGATTGTCTAAAAATAAATCACTATTTTGCATAAAGGAAAATGTAAACAAAATACAGAAGTACCTTTGTTAGTCACAATGAAACGTGTATAAGAGAGGGATTTCTCCAACACACACACACACACACACACAAACATATATATATATATATATATATATATATATATATATATATATATATATATATAAATGGTGATACTCGCCTGGAAAAGCCTTGGGTATGTTGGCTTGTAGTATAACAATCTAGTACCCAAGGGATAATGAGGAATAAAATAATAAAGAACTAAGAACATGAAATTGAGGCGAAAACAATCGTCTAGAGTTCAAGCTCAGAGCCCAAAGAAAATAAAACGCAAAACGAGTAAAAGCAACTGCGTAAAGTGCTCAATACACGAAGTAGAGCAAACCTAAGATAAACCTAATACGGGTCGTCAGGGGAATGCGATACGTTTAGGTGAAACCTAGGTAGGTTTGACTGGCTCTTTTTATTTATATATATATATATATATATATATATATATATATATATATATATATATATATATATATATATATTTTATGGTTTTGAGGCACTTTCCAAAGGTGCTACACGCAGGGATCGACCCCTCCAGTACGATAACATCAGCTATCCGTAATACCGATTCCCATATCATATTAATTTCTATACTGAGGCGGTTTAGGACATTTTTGAGGGCTATAGCATGTGTGTTGATTCCTTAAGTTTTGGTAATTTCCTGTGATGTTCCCACAATGAGCAGTGCTCTCCCTTTTCATTCCATATGTCGTCAGCTACGCCTATTTTTTTCTATTTCCCCTCCTGGTAGCGCTTTGCACTGTTCTAGCAAACTTACATTAATGAGGCGGCCTTAAGATAAGAGTATATACAGTTCGATAAAAGTGACACCTGATCTTTTTACTAAATGTTATCTTCTCCAATGAAACGAAGGTTGAGCTAAATTCAAAGGATAAGCGATCTAAAATCCGAAGAAGCTTTGAAAGCTCTTTGAATTTAGCAGTAAGTAATGTCAAGCATCTGTTCAGTATAATGTTCTCGGGATGCTTTTCTTTTCATGGAACTGGTTTCTTAAAAACTATTGAAAGGACCCTCAGGAGCGAGCAGTACAAGAGAGTTTTTGAGTCTTGTCTGCTCCCTTCTGCTGAAAGGGTGCAAATCGACCCCACCAAGCTCAACTGTTGCTCAACTGCTTTCACGAGAGCCTGTATTTTATAATGATCCATAAGCCTTCTATAGGGTTTAGGCCAGGAGATTGCGGCACCCATGTCATAACGCTCACCTGCTTCTCATCAAAGTATTCCATCATCAAATTTGATTTGTGACAGGGAGCATTATCCCGCTTAAAAAACAGCACTGTATATATAACTATAAACTGTCCAATGGTTGTGTACTTTCGACTTTCATAAAGTATTGTGTTTTTTTTCTGCTGTATTAGTTTTATTCATTTTACAAACATCCCGTCTCAGTGTTTAATATCGCTTTCAAAAAAGTATCGCGTCTTCACGCGGCACTTCGTGTTGGCACGTTGTAATTTCTTTTTTATGTACTTTTTGCTTAACACTTTATGTTGGATTGTGTTTTAATGCTGAATCATTCTAGCATTTGTAGTAGATTTTTATCCTTTATAAACCTTCAACTTACATTGGTAACAATTAGAAATCGTGGCATCTTAGGGTATTCGTCACACCCGAACACGAAAATCTACATGTTGCCAGTTCCTGATTATTCAACGCCAATGGCGGAGTTGATTCCAGTATTGTGGTGTTGCCAGCGGCACACTGGTAGCTTTATGCTCCCATGGTCCAAGGAGGCTAAAGCGCGTTGATTGATCTCAATATCCTGCTGAATAAACATATGTTAGCTTCTGGTTTGAATGTAGATGGGTTTTGAACCAGTGTCCCTTGCCTGTTACTACAGATAACCTCTCTAATGATTACAAGATGTGCGGGTGGTGTAATGTATAGCGGTTGAGAATGAAAAATTCAAGACGACTTCATTCTATTTAATTATGCTCGAATATAGAATGAATAGCATAACTTGTTAATCTTCAAAAACAAAAAACTGTTAATGCAAGACTCGCTCCCAAGAATATTAATATTCTTAGAATAAAAATAATATATTTCGGCTTTAAATAACGCCAGAAGGAATTGCCGGAAAGCTGTCAGTGTCGACTTTCAACCAGCCTCCACTCCGAGTTTTCTGTTTAGATGTCCTTCCATGGCCATTTCCTTGTTTGGATATGACCACAAGGCAGCGGTGGTATAAAGTCACTGTTTTCCCTTCTTAGATAATCTGTGTTCCTGTACTGTCGAACTCCATCTACAGGATGCAGCTGGTTATGCCTTGACTCTTGCCCGCCTTCGTCCATTTTCTGGCTTCGAAGTGGACTTAGATGTTAGACTCATGCCACGGAATAATTTTACAGATAATGGGAACATGTCCCCACTATGACCCTATGAAAACTTTTGAAACATATATAATGTACGTATATAAACATTATATACATTAAGCAAAAACAGAAAGTAAAAATAAGCCAAACGATCTTTTGGTTAGTTGTACAAAAATAAATAATTGATAATACTGAAAAACTAAACTTTCGAAAAAGTTGAAAGAAATAATAATACATATATATAACTAAATATAATATTAATAACATATATATATATATATATATATATATATATATATATATAATAATAAATGGAATTGTAATTGCAAAATATATTAAATTATTCTAGTATTTTAAATCACAATTTACGCTTTTTCAGTTAAACTTAGAATCTGTCAATTTTTTTCCAACTTCAAAAATAACGTATCACCTCTCCTTGAGTTCGTAATGCCATATTTACTATGATGATTTGTCAAATAAACTGCACATATTTCCCTACAAAAGGCCCATTAAAACAAATCTTTGGATTTTATCAGACAACAGTTCGCTCAAATATAAGCAATCAATTCATGGAGTAAATTTTCATCGAGAAACTAATTCTGGAAGTAAGTTTGAAAATTTTATGAAATCGTTTAACGATGTAAATTCAGGAATAATGACGCGAAGACATGATTTATTTTCTCTTCCATTGGAGCCAATCAAACCTTGCAAATAAAAATGCAGTTTAAAATGCATATACACATACAAATTCATAGCGAATTTTGATGAAATAAGTGAATCACTTTTCTCAAATCTCTTCATAGATTCCCACTGTATGGAACTGATTCAAGGAATATTGCAGTGTGCAAATTCTTTTATTTTTACAGGTATATGTAGGCTACTGTTCTTTCACTGGTGAAAATGCATAGCCAATGCCGTAAAAGTTTGAAAAGATAGTGCATTGTAGCTAAAAGTCTTGCCTCTTTGTAACAAATACAGTGGATCCATTATTTTCGAAACATACCTTAGTGTATACACGGGCGCGCATGCGCAAACACACACACATATTTATGTATACATGTATATATATGTAAGGTATAAAATGAAAAAAGAAATGATTTGATTCTTTCTTTTTTTTTTTTTGTTTCAGGCTTCAGGCAACTCATCCAAAATATGTGTATCTCAGTTTCGATTTATACGCAGGTGCATTTAAGCGAGCCAAGCGGTGAACGGAATGATAAATGCGAATTTCGAGATGATTTTTATACGTGAATTAAACCCTAAAATAATGCACGTTTTGTACGAATATCCATCTGACGTTACAAGAAAACTCGCGAAGCAAAAGCTAGTTGGATTTTCGATTAAAAATATCATACATCAGTAAAACACGGAATTTATGTCGTTGTACTTTTTTTTATCTGCCTACATATGTATCTGTGCATTCACTTTTTCTCCTCTCTCTTTCTCTTTCTCTCTCTCTCTTCGCATATATATATATATATATATATATATATATATATATATATATATATATATATATATATTTAAATAAAAAGAAAGAACAGTAAGATATATAATCCGGTGTTCTTACAGATATTTTTATTTTTACAAAATAGTGCTCAATGTAAATTTACAGAGCATTAATATTATAAATTAATTGATTTAAAATATGTTTTTTTTCCGCTACACAGTTCTAACCATTTTTGAAACATGGTTAGAACTATGTAGCCAAAAAAAAAAAACATATTTTAAATCAATTATTTCTCCTCTCTCTCTCTTCAAACACACACACACACACATATATGTGTGTGTGTGTATATATATATATATATATATATATATATATATATTCTCTCTCTCTCTCTCCAAACACACACACAGACACACACACACACATATCTATATATATATATATATATATATATATATATATATATATATATATATATATATATATATATATTCTGTTGTATCATTAAGACAATAGTGACAAACGTTTCAAATCTCTGATTTTGATCCTACATCTAATCTTGTGGAGAAAAGAGTTTATATTTTGGTTAATATTTCAGATTATGGTTAAAGAAATCACCTGTCTTTCTGATCTACCCTTATATGTTCATACAAATCCATATTTATCAACCCTCACTAAATATTGTATCTTTCAGTCGCTCGCTCACTCTCTCTCTCTTTCTCACTCTCCCCCTCTCCTCTCTCCTCTCTCTCTCTCTCTCTCTCTCTCTCTCTCTCTCTCTCTCCCCTTATGTTTTCTTATATTTATAAGGTAAAACTAAAAATGAGCAGTCATTGAATATTGACAGTGATCCAAATTTAATACAGGATTTGGTCAATACCTTTTGTTGGAAATGCAGCACGTTTTTATTATTTCAGACAATGCAGGACTAAAACAACTAAGAAGAAGATCTCAGTCGAAACGCGAACGTTCTAACGACTCGGCTAGGAAAAAAACAACCTTCGAGTCTGGGTAGTAAGTACTTCGATGAGTAACCGCTTGGGAATACCCAGTATTGTAATCTTGGATGGGCATTTGGTTTAACGGATAATGGCTTGGAAATGTCAACTGAAGAGAGGAGTCCCAATTTCACTTGGGTCCGTTAGATTCTCTTACTCGCAATCACCTCTTATACCCGCCGCCCTGCTGTGTAAGACATGTATCAAACGAGCTCACATAGGGAGGTGTACAGATTGTTGGGCAGATTAGATATATGTAATAATAAAGAATACTAAACAATGTAACTTTTATTGTTTATCCTTAGTATTGATACCTAAAAACTATTTTAAGTTCAAAATGATCAAGATGAATAATACCATTATCTAGCAAGTATCAATATTTGTTTCAATTTAAATCAATAATATTGATTCTAGTTTTTCAGAACTTGATCCAGATAACTATATCCTCACATAGTATGTGATTTATAACTTCTAGCTCTTTATTAAGACTACTTTTATTTTTATCGCCAAGAAACAGTTGCATAATAGCGTTATTCGAGCTGTAGTTACCATTCTCGTAAGGGCTTACTGTTACGTTAAAACACCGAGTCCCATACGATCACCGAAGTTAAGAAACGTCGAGCCTAGTTAGTACTTAGATGGTTGTCCGTTAAGATGTGAAGGTGGTATAATGGGTAACAGTTCGGAATGAGAATTTGGAAAGCTTTTCCAGCTTTTTTCCCCCTCAGCTATGGGTAAAAACAAGACAGATTGGGCTTTATTGACTTGGCTAGCAAATTGTCTACGAGAAGGAATGACTATTTCGGGAGCCATTGACCAACATGCAGCTCAAAGAATCCTATTAAAAAGCCTGCAATTCTAGCCTCATCTAATATGTAGCACAGAGTGCACCAATAGTGAATATAGTGCTATGGCGGAGAGAGTGTACATTGCAGACCACGGGCAATAGAACACTTTAAATAATCAATTCACTCACGCGCTGCTTGAGAATGCCAGGTACATGTAGGCTTGTAGGTGCAGATGGTGTAATAGATAATGCCTCAGAATTGATATTCAATTCCAATTCCCGTGGTGTCCGCGTCTTAAAGCTATGGATCAATTAGAAAGACTTGTATCACTAAACCATTATTATCCCACATATTCTTCCAACCTAAAAGAATATATATTTTATGGCTTTAAATAAAGTGTTGATAAGCCGTAAAAATCAATCAGTCAACCATTCTCGCAGACAATAATGCACTGCAAATATCTATTGGATACATATCTGGAGACACGGTTGGTGTCGTATAGATGATTTGGTGTCTTCGAAATATTTTTGCGGTAAGGTTGATAGATGAATGTAAAATATGAAGGATCATTGCTTTTCATTGTTATAGTTTTTATTTAAAATCTCAAAAATATTTTGTTCTAGAAATTACTATAATTTCTCTTGGTACCGTCAACACCTTTAAAGGGACGCGTATCATTTTAAAATTTAAAAAGTAATCCTTTTTTCTTCCTAATCAAATGAGCATTATTGGATGCCTTTGCCGCTTGACTTAGTTATTATGCAAATATTTAAAAGGGTATGTAATATAATCGATCTTGATCTGACATCTCGACATCACTTTCTTTCCCATAGATGTGATGTTGCTTCCTTCTCTATTTTCTACAAATATTTTCATGGTAATTCTTCTGATGAACTTCCTAACCTGACTTTATGAAGTTATACGTGCTAGTAGATTGGCAGTAGATGCAATCATTTCTTCCATTTTAATAGTTTCTTTTCTCGGACATCTCCCCTGTGGAATTGCCTTTCGATGTTTTGCTTTTCTGACACCTAAAATCTTTCAAAATTTAAATGCAACGCCAAACCCACAATTTTTCTTCCTGAATCCTGATCATTCACCGCACTAAAGTCTTCTCGTTCTCTTTTTCTCCCCTTAACCCCCACTGCCCCCCCCGGTGGCTATGTCGCCTTCTTTGACGTGATGAGATTGAAAACAAATTATATAAAATTTTCATTGTACAATAGTTGAGATATATAGTTAATGAGATGCGTTGACTTAAGTGAATTTGACAAGCTATGAGATTATGTTGAAATCTAAATTTTGGCTGTTTAAAAATTGCTTTACACAAAAATGCATTCAAATGGATTTTCCCGAGTTGATTTTTTTTTTTTTAGAAATCTAGCGAAATCAATATATTTGCCATTATAGGCCGAGGAATGTCCTAATGCTAAATAACATTTGTCCAGTCTACAGTATCGATGGTATTTACATATGATTTTGGTTAACATGTTTAAAATATAATTATGACAATGAGAAATTGATATTTGAATAATATTTCCGAATTAATTGCATAAATAATTTATGTTTGTTTTAGTGAAGTTCAAAAATTTTGCAATTGAAGATTTCATTTTAGGGAAAAAAAAAGAGTTCGGTAAAATCCTTGCGGATTAAAGACTGCTACTAGTGATTGTCAAAGCTTAGTCGAAGAACTCGCAAGAGAATTTAAATTTTTTTCAGTTTTATGATTGGGAGAATTTAAGAACAAATGTGCAATAAAACGTAATTGATTGGCTTTTGAATGGTCGGCTCAGTTACTTTCTTTTTTGTAAATCAACAGAAACCTAAAAAATTATTGAATGCAGAGGAGTGAAATGATTAACGATAACAGCCACATCATTTCTGCAAGTCAAGCAGAATTTACATGAACGGACGCTGATTGATATTTTATAGTTTCATTCGCAAAAGTAAATATTCATTGCATAAATATAAGCAAGCCAATTTAAAGTCGAATGCTCTGGGGGCGTTACTGATAGCGTCTCGAAATGAGAAAAAGAAGAGTAGAGTTCTAATTCCAGTCGGGTTCATTACATTAATTTACGTGCATATAACCTTGGGAAATGTACTGATAAATCTCTTCAAATGCCAACTCTGCATTATAGAGTAGGACTTTTATTTTAAAACATCATTGTTACATATAAGCAAGATAATTTAAAGTTGGATGCGCTGTTGTTATAATTAATTGATTGAAGAGAAATTTATAAACAGAATTCAAATTCCTGTCGGTTCACTCTAAGCATTTACGCAAAAATAACTCATCTCTGGATTAAATTGTACGAATTTTATCTTGAAGCATTATTGTTAAATATAGTTAAGCTAGTTTAAAACTGGATGTGCTGGAGGGGTAATAGATAGAGGCTCGAAATGAGAAACGGATGAGCAAAGGTCGAATTCCAGTCGGGTTCTTTACATTAATTTCCGCGCAAGTAATCTGGGGAAAGTTACGAATAAATCTCTCCTTCCTCCATCTCTGGATTATCAGGATTCTTTTCTTGAAGCATCATTCTCGTTTACAGTTTAATATAAAATGTGTGGCTGGTGTAATTTATAGCGATTCGAAATGTGAAATAGAATAGCAGTGACGGAATTCCTGTCGTTATTATGTTATGGATAAATCTCCTCTTCTCTCTGCTCAGGATTAAATACTAGGATTTTTATCTTGAAACATTATTGCTATACTCTAAATATCTTAAATGAAATACACACCAGAAACAGAATTATTCTTACAATTCAAGAAATATGTTTCCACTTTACCCACTGTAAAAACAAATTAATCAATCAATCAGTTGTTCAATTAAAATCTGAATACGATCCTTATGGACCGGTGTTCTGCCACTGCAATGCTCACATTATGGAGTAATGCCTCTAATCATGAATTCCTGATACACGTCCTTCCCGTAGATAGTATTATGTGCATTGTCCCCAAAAGCTGCAGGAATTTCCCATTCGTCTTGCACCCGTATCATATTCCGTTCGAAATCCGATATTTCACAGTGCCTCCCCATGAACTGGAATCCAACAGTATCAGTTAAACCCGAAACGCTTCGTAAGTGTCTTAAAGCTTAACACCTCAGTTTCTACGAGGGGACCAGAAAATAATCGATAAGATCACCGGGTGATCAATCAGAGTCATTGCAAATGACCATTAGGTTTCAGAGGGCAGATGAAGACATCCGGTACAAGTCGTATAAAATGTAGAGTAGTTAATTCATGTAGAATGAGAGGTGAGAAAATCTCTTGGTCTGCGCGAGGCGATAGCTAAACTAGTTAAAACACCGTCAGACTGATATGGTTGGGATTTTCTTAAACGAGAAATATATTGATCAGAACAAAAATGTAAACCAAAGAAAAAATCAAATGGTAAGACAGAGAACCAAATAGGGTTCGAAATGTCATGCATACCATGTTCTCAGCAGCACTGATGTCGGCAATGAGGTAAATGTCATTCCTTTTCAATTATTTCTTTTGACATTAAATACAAATTCTGCTGTATTTCAAAAGGCGCTGGAGGGAGTTTTAAAGCCACAAGACACTTCATCATCTCATAAAGCTAAGAAAATCCAACGTTGGATGGATGACAATCTCCACCATCATGGATCCCCTGTAGACTACTCCATAAGAGGTGTAGTTGTGAGATTGGTGTCAGACAACCCTCCCATAACAACACAAAATCTCTGAAGTCCGTCATATTGACGACTATGTATAATAATTGATAAAGTTCATCAGATACAGACACGTCAATTCTTTCGAGCTTATATCAAAGCAGCCATCAATGTTTATAGTGGATAAAGTTAGTTGATTTTGGTTGATTTTGTTTAACGACATATCAACCACTACGGGTTATTTAATACCGAAATCTAAGTATTTTGAACATAATTTATGGCTTCATCTAAATATTGAATTGTATGTTGTTAATTTTATTATAAATATGTATTGTTGGCATTTTTAATACAAAAATGTTTTTTTTTAAATGTTTTTTATACCTTCATAATGTTTTGTTTTTGTTCCAGAGTTCAGTATTTACCCATAGGTGGGACCTTACCATCTGCTACTACCCGGGTCACGGTGGATCTGGGAACAGCATTATTAAGAAATGGTTCTAAGCTCCTCAAAACCTCCAATCAGATACCTTGCCACTGGATGTAGTTTATCGTCACACCCAGCACTAATGGCGGAGCAACTGAATAAAGTGTAATAAAAGGATTTTCCGAAATAATTGCGCTATTTTTTTCAATGCAATAAATCCACTAAAAAACAATGGCGTTTAATGAGCGTGAGAAAATATGAGAAAAAAAAAGAAGACATTATTGTAGAGAGAAAACTAAAAACCAGTAATTAAGAAATCAGAAGATAACGCTTGGCATTGCATTTAAACATTTGACTGTAAAGAGTCCTCACTGAGCGCCCCATACTTTCGTCCTCGTGCCTTATCTAAATCACTATAGCAAAAACTGGATGAGACTTTCACAACCGATAAATGCGAGAGAAGAAACTCCTAACATATGATGTTTGGCTCAAGTGTTCAATCGGAAAATGTCAGCTTAAGTTCCCTGCCAAAAAGATTTCTGCTGAAATGTAAATATATTCGCCTTTACATTTCGTCTTTATCGATATCTTCTCTAATAAAATCGTCATTATATATCCATTTTAATGCAATCATTGTGTAGTTCTCTGCATGGGATAAAATCATTTGCGACTGTTCCAATAAAGAAAGAAAACTCTAATCAATTAAGATAGTTACTTTTTGATTAAGTTCTTTTTCCACTCATAACATAATCACTAAATCATTGAGAAGTATTTTCATGGGATTTTTATAACCATA